TGACACCAAGGTCAAGGATGATGTCAAGAAATGTAGAGAGAAACATAGCGGTAGCGCTTGTTGAGGCAGAGTAAGCATCAAATTTCAGGAAACCCTAGCCCTCACCACGCCTCAAACATGAACCCAAAAATAAACATCAAGGAAAACACAAATATAAATCAACCCTTACCTAAACATCAACCGTAAACATAAACAAAAACCGTGACCACAAACATAAACACAATCATAAATTTAAACATTAACACAGACATAAATCCTCACTTCTATGTTTATGTTGGTGTTTATGTTGTACTTACGCTTGCTATTTTGTTTATGTGGGTGTGGTTTTTTTCTTAGGCGTAGAAGTGCAGGGAAGGGCAAGGTTTATGATTGAGGCTGTGGTTTGGGTTGGTTTAATTTATGGTTGTTTCTGTTTTCATTTTTGTTTGTGTTTTTCATTTGTCCATATTTTTGGAATTATTTCAAATAACTTCAGTTAGATAGAACTATTAAGTTTCCATTATAAAAATGTCTTAAAATTTGTACAGTTGTAAGTTTAAACTTTGTTTTTACATTTTTTTAGTATGTTATTATATAATGTTTTAAAATGACACATTTATTGTAAATATGCTATTTTATGCGTAGATTAAATTAAATAGTTTTTTTTTTCAAAATAAAGGGAAATAACCCGAAAATGAGTTTTTTTAAAAATCTTTTTCTTACCTCAAAATCTCATAAGTCATAAGGTAACGTTTTATTCAAACAATATGAAATGACAGTGTTAAGACGAATATATTAGGATTTTAAAATATTTAAACCATGCCTAACGGTAGGAAAAGTCACGCTTAGTTCTACGTGTTAAAAAATTGCAACCTAACAACATTAAGAAGGATATAGCAGGACAGGCGATCTCACAATCATCTCGATTGATGCCTGGGCGGATAGAAACTCCTCTTATGCAAAGCCATCCTTTAACTTAAAAAAAAAATGACCAGTCTTCATCTCTAGGACATCATAAACCCACACATCGATGACATAATGGATAACGACATCAAGTAGGCCTACATGTTCTGTGTAGAAAAATGTTACAGATAAAAATAACTTTTGGCGGGCTTTGTGTTCTAGAAATGTAACATGTCCTATGTTTAAGAGGTTATCCATTTATGACGTCCACATGGCGGGTGAGGGGGGGGGGAGGGTTAAAAAACGACTTGTTCAGGTGTGTAGTGTTAACGGTCAACGCGACCACAAAAAAGGGGAAATGCGGTTTATTATGGAAACGCATGCTGCGTAAAGTTTAGTAACATTAATATAATTACATCATGTTGTTTACCCCGAATTTACCCGAACCCATATAGTTGTTGATAGCTAGACATCCACAACTGACAGTAAAAAGTTCGGTCTACCGCATCTTCAAAGTTTAAAAAATATATGAATGCCAGCAATCTCTAACTCTTTATGAAAAATAGTGGGTGAAAACCTTTAAAACCGTCCACGCGCGATCACTTTCAATAAAGAACAATTTTATATAGTAGACTTACGGACATCTTGGAAAAGTTTAACTCCCAAATATTATTTAGGCCTAGGAATAGATGTTACCGAAAATATCAAATCCCTATTTTACATTATCAGTAAATGTACACAGTGAATGTAAATAAATTAGTAATTTGTCTTTAAAAGGTCTACTAAATTTTTGTGGACGGCAACAATGGGAAGGTGGGTGGGGGGGGGGGGGGTGTCTAAAACTCCAAATTTTTGTGGACGTCATAAATGGTCTCAACGCCGGCGCCTGGAGGGGCACTTGAAATTTTCGGCGGGGGGGGGGGGGGCAGACACTGTTAAAAGTATATATTTTCTATATAAATTCAATTTCGATCTGGGGGGGGGATGCGATAGACCTTTCTCCGCCGTCCCGTCCCCCCTCCCTCAAAGAGGTGCCTGGAAGAAACTCAGTAAACGCCGTGTTACGGGTACCGACGGCTAGTAACCACTTAAATATTAAATTCAAGGGAAACTACTCTAAAATCTAGATAATATTCAGTAAGATGGCTGCTGAATCTAGATCTAGATAAAAAGTAGATATCTAGATCCTAAGATAATATATTATATATGAGTAGTACTAGATCTAGACTCTAGAGTCTAGTAGATTGCAAGATCTGATATCTGATTAATTTAATATACTCTAATACTAATAGGTAATCTCACATATAGATCTAGATCTAGCGTCGGAAATTATATGGTAGTTTTTGTTACAATAACAAAGCCAGGTAATTGTAGAATTGTAGAGCTATGCACATGCACATATTTTTCCGGCTAGAATCTGAAATTTTTAAAATAGAAATATATTAGGTCTAAATATTAAATAAATAAATCTAGATCTAGTACTAAATAATAGTAAATAACTTAATAATAAAAATATTAAATTCACCAACCTACGGGAGGGGGTGGAGGCAAAAAGGCCCTAAGCCCCATTGCCAGCCTAATGATAATGGCCAATGGCAAACATTATAATTCATTATATTACTGTTAAGCTTCAGTTTATTATATATAGAGGCTACCAGTTAAAGATTTCTCTATGATATTAAAATTCATAAAAGCAGTTTAGGTACACCTAAATAACATGGCAAATGTTCCATCAAAAGCTGGGTGTGATCAAATGGTAGAGCGTTTGTTTGCTAACCTGAATGTCTCGTGTTCGGATCCTTGGTTAAAATCTGTACGACCTCCCTGGGTCTAGCCAACTCTTATGTGTATCTGGCTCATGCTAGAGAAAGTAAGGCAGCTGGCATATCTGCTCTAACATGAAGTGCCTAGATAGCTAATAGTTAGTGTAATAATAGGTTCCATGCGGGTGGCACGGGTTTGAGATACATTAAGTCAATGTTTATTTTTATTTTTTTAATTTATTTTTTTTAGATGAGAATGATAAAGTTGCCTTTGGAACTTGGGGGAATACAAGGCAGGTGAAGTAGAGTTCACCTATTTCTTTGTCTTCAGCTTTTAAAGGGATAGTGTGGTCAGAGCCATGCTCTGCCGAAATATTTCTTTAAATGATAAAAACATGTCTGAGACTTGGCAGGACACTGGGCAGGTGAAGTAGAGTTGGGTATGTGGATAGTTCACCTGTGCCGTCATCATATGAAGGGATAGTGTGGTCAGACCCATGCTCAGCTGAAATTTATGTTTTAAAAGACGAAAACATGTCTGAGGTGTGACGTCTTTTGAATGTGGGGTCTGGTTTTTTTTGTGATAATAAGTGACAGTAGGGAGGGGAGGGAAAAGTTAAAAATTATCTAATAAACATGACGTCATTTATGGATGACCCTTGAAACACAAAGTTATTCAAGAATAATTGGGTAGTCTAGTTACGTCTACATTTTTAGGCAATTCAAGATAAATAAAAGTAGCTGTGGAGAAAGAAGCACAATATACATATCCGCTATGTAGGAAGAGATTCACTCGCTACATGCCTCTAGGCCTCTGTAGTTGATAAGCATCAGTTCTTTTGTACATTGTGAGTAACTATGTTATCTGTGTGCTTATGTGTTACATCTTCATACCTGAGTCAGCTTATTTATTAGTTTGTACTGACTAATGATACCCTAGCAGTAAACTGCTTTAGTCTATTCATATATGACCGAGGGTCTACATGATTGCACTATTATTAAAAACCTTGCCTTAATTTTTTAAAAGTTATATTTTCATTTTCAAAATTTTTCATGTAGACTACACAGGCAGGACAGACTAGTAGAGTATGTGACCAGTGGTTACTTATACATAGACTACCTTCTGACTGATTATGAACTTACATTCTCAAGATGCCCCTGTGTTCATCGAGTTTCAAAGTTAATAGATAAGGACAGATGATTGTCTATAATTCCGCAAGTGTGACGGCTCATTATTTAATTGATCATAACTTATTAGAGGACACTTTTACATTTACATCTTATGTTTTAAATAAACCTAACTAGTTTTTTAATTTGTATTGATGTATTGAAAAGCAAGACATTTATTTATGAAAAAAGTTGCTTCTGTATATGTCAGAAAATAAGGTACTTTGTTGTTCAACTGCATTTCTCTGTGGTTTAAATGGCTTACATTTGTGTTTCAGTTTGTGAAAGGGGCAGCATGGAATACACAGGATATTGCACTGATAATGGTCCTATAAAAATTGAATCAGATTCACAGGTAAAGTGCAATTGCTGCTTTGAGAGATTACACCCAATATACAGTATTAGAATTGTGTCTAAATTGATATTCTTTTGCCTTCTGTAAAAATATAAACAGACACCAACTTAAATATGTTTTTCTTGAAACTTTTGATTCTTGGAGTAGGTTTTACATTCAGTTAGTTAAAATTACATTAAAGCAGTTCTGCTCTATGGCTCAGAGCCATGGAGAACAACAGAGTCAACAATAGAAAGCCAACAGGAAATGAAAGAATTGTGAACTGCTGAAAAGAGAGACAGGAGGCAGTGGAAAGCCTTGACAGACCCTGTGATACACATGGAATGAAATAATGATGTTTAGTTTAAATGACAGAAGTACTAGTTTACAGCATTTTCTGTAACATGGGTCCCATCTCTTCAAATATCAAAGTTTATGAACTTTCTCTGACCCTGCTTATGTTGACAGTAGTATTAAATCTAAATCTACTTTGTTATGTTTTTTTACCGTCTCCATCATCAAGGTTATCTATGCTAGCATTGTTATTTATAAAATTATAATAAGGCAACTCAAAATTTACATTCTGATAAATTGGCAATTTTCTTGGTTATTTTTTTTTTTAGTTACGGGCAGCCTAGATAAAAAAAATATAATTTAAAAAAAAATTATAGTGGACTTTATGTTTAACATTTACCAACACATTTTATAATAATTTAAACCAGACTTTGTTCCCTTGTAGGGATATGTAAAAAGAAATTAGTGGGTAAAGTATTATTCTTTAACAAGTTACAGACAGAATCAGATTATTGCAGAATGTCTATAAAAACACAACAATGTTTTGTATTGTTAAACAGGTTCCACCAGACTGCATCAATGGTGAGGACAAAGATTGTTGTAAGACAACTCTGCCCCCTGGCCTGATGATTAAAACATCAGACATACCTGGCGCTGGACTTGGAGTTTTTGCCACAAGATTTTTTCCTGCCGGGACAAGGTTTGGGGCATTTGATGTGAAGAAAGAGAGCAGCGAGCAAATGGCACATGGCTCTGAGTATTGTTGGGAGGTGAGCACAATCTAATCAACCCTTCACTCAAATGTGAGGGTGGGCATTGAAAGAAGAAAGTGGGGATTTCATTGTTTTATATGAATGTCTATTTGTATACCGTAATGTATACTGTAATACACATCCAGTCCGGGGATCATACCGTGTTATCGCCGTCTTTAAAATCGTTATAATCAACACAAGTGCAATTCAAGATATACTATTCTGTTCTTTATTCACACAAATCAATTTCTTACTTCTACCTAACTAGTCTATCAGTGACAAAATTTTAATGTAATTCTTTCTGGTACATTCAAATGCACCAGACCACATATATTAATTTAAATATATGTTTAACCTTTAAGAGTTCTACAATTTGTGGTATAGATTGGTGTATCAGAATTCCTCTGAATTATGTATAGTTTGTTAAATAATAAGTTTTATTAACATTGTGCTATCATTAGCACTTACTTTTCCTAATTACAGACAATATAAATATTGATGTTAAAAAGTAAATAAATGGCCTTAGGTGTTTTTGAGTCAGGATATATTAATAATTCTACTAGTATAGTGATATTGAAAAAGAAAGTAGCTCCAGTGACTAAATTTTTTTCTCTAGCAGTCAAAATAAATTTTTTATTGGAATAATACTAGAAGTTGCTTTTTATTTAAATTTTTTTTTGGATGAATTTTATTGTTATTAATTATTAGTAGACTGTTAACCTTATTAAATTCACACATCAAAAGCTTAGACCATTTTCTTATAAAATATGTTTTATTTATTTGGATATTTTAAAAATTTGCTTTTTAAAAGATTCGTGGTTTAAAAATATGTCATTTGCCTTGCTGTGTGCCTTGTTGAAGGGAAGGTAAAATAGTTTTGATTTCTCAGAATGTCTAGGGTTGAAAACCAAAGTTTTACTGACATGTGATGCTGTCCCTTTCTTAGCCAACTCTGTCCCAGATCTTTTACTCATGAAATCTAAATTTGTTTTAAAAAATGTTTACTTTTTTATTTGAACTTTACTTTCATGCAAAACAAAGTGTAATATTTTTCTTTTTCTTCAAGGATGGGAGGCCGTCCCATTTTGTTGATGCCAGTGACAGCTCTGTTTCAAACTGGATGAGATTTGTAAACTGTGCACGTTATGACAATGAGCAGTGTGTCACAGCATACCAGCACAATGGTGAAATGCACTACATGGCCCTTAGAGACATCGATGTTGGCACAGAAATACTGGTAACTATCTTGTTTACGCCATAAAATTGTGTGTGTGTGTGGGGGGGGGGGGGGGGTTAGAGCTTATAATTGATTTATAGATTTTTATGATCTTTTTGCATCGGCAATTTAAAAAAAAAAGAACCACTATTTTAATTAAGCAAGTAACAGCAAATTGGTACACTGGTAATTTTAATAAGGAGTGAACCTAACAATCCTTATTATGGCAGAGTCATCCAATATCTGGTGCAGGTCACTTTTTAGGGAAAATTTTAAATTTGAAAATTAACATGTTATTATTTGTTTACAGAAAATAAAAAGGTTATTTTATTATTTATGACAAATATTTTAATGAAATGATAAAGTCTAAGCATTGAAAATATTAAAACTTCCTACTTGGGGATTTCACACACAATTTTACTGAATATGTAATTTTCCTTTTTTTTTTTAAATTTCTAACGGAAAATAGTCAATTAAGTAAAATAAAATGTATTTTAAATATGAAGATGTCAATCTTCTGACACTGTTTTATTCCACTGTCCCTTTTTGCAAAGCACACATCATTTTAAAATTGACCTTATCACTTATAAGAATGTGATGCCAATAATGGACTGCCTCCTTAACAGTAGCTCTAACAGAAACCTAACTTTAAAACTATTAACTATAAAAAGTTGCAATTTAACATAATTTAAATGTGTCATAAATTTTTAAAAATTTAACTGATGTTTTGATGCTCTTACACACTAAAACAAACACAAATTCCAATCTACTCTTATCTGTTACACACATTCACTTAAATAAATAAAATATATTGGAAATACTTCAACCGATATAATTGGCACAAATTTTCATTCCTAATTTTTAAAACTCAAATATCTTAACAGAACAGTATAATAAACCAAGTCTATTATTTATCATTTTGAAATTTAATAACTTTAACCCATTCTCCATCTCAACTTAATAGCATACCCATTTATACTATTAAACGTACCTCAAATCTACCAAAACAATAAAGAAATTCAACTTTAACTTATCCTAACTCAAATCTAACTGAAATAATGTATACTATCAAACCTTTTTAAATTATATTGATAGTGACCAAAAGTAGTGTTAAAATAAATAATAATTAGTAAACAATAGATTTTTGTTTAGCTTTTTGATAAAAAATGAAAAGTAAAACATAATTTATAATTATAGCATTATTTAAATTAAGAAAATATCTAATTTTCTTACATCCTCAGCCTCTTTTTAAATGGCATAATGGTAAATAAATATTAAATAGGTAAATACAGACATTCTACATATAATAAACTTAATAGCATTGAAGATGAATGCTGCACACTATATTTAAATTATGATGACCTGAAAATGGTAGAAATGAGTTAGACTATATGGCCTTAGCAAATATTTAAAAAACTGAAAATTTTTTTTAATGAATTAAACCAAAAAGTGCATACAAACACTCCCAGTGTTACAATGCACCAGTGTGGAATAAATGAACCTGATCTGTTGACGCCTTTGGATTTCTATAGCAGATATAGTCTGCTGCTTAATCAACATAACTATAGCCTCTTTTTATATTTAGATATAAATATATATATAAAAAAAAGGCTTCATTAAAATTTTTGTCATGGGGTTAATTAGGGCCCTTTTTTATCCTTATTTGACCACTAAGAGGCATTTAGGCATAAATTACACAAAAGAGTTCATTATGATTTTAGAGTTCCATTAGTTTTTAGACGTGTGTCTAAAGTTGGATTTTTTAAAAATTACCATTGATTTACATGAAAAGTATAATAAAATACTGTGATTTGGTTAGAAGTGCTTGGCGACACCACACCATCTGTTAAAATGGATTGAATGTTTTTACTTAACTAGTATAAAACAGTATTTAACATTTTCATGTGTACTATAGTGACAGCTATATTTAATTTTACTAGTTAAAACAACATTGTACTACGAGAAAAATGGCCCGTTGAGGAAGGATACACCGGGCGCTAGGCTGATAGTGCTGTCTCTTTTCTCTAAACTAAAACCACCCCCCACACCCCCCCACCCCCACACACACCACCCCCCACCCACACACACACCACCCCCACCCCCCCACCCCCACACCCCCCACCCCCCACAAAACATGTATACCGTCCCATTCCACGAAATATAATTATATACTTTTTCCAGTGTCCGCCCCCCTCCCCGAAAATTCTACCCCCGCCACCGAAAATTTCAAGTACCCCCACCCCTCTCCGGGGAGGAAAAAGTCTAAACTAAAACCACCCCACCCCCCACACACACCACCCCCCCCCCCCACCCCACACACACACCACCCCCCCCCCACACCACCCCCCACCCCCCCACCCCACCCCCCAAAACAAAAACATGTCTACCGTCCCATTCAACGAAATATAATTATATACTTTTTCCAGTGTCCGCCCCCTCCCCGAAAATTCTACCCCCCGCCACCGAAAATTTCAAGTACCCCACCCCTCTCCGGGGAGGAAAAAGTCTAAATTAAAACCACCCCCCCCCCCCCCCCACACACACACACCCCACCCCCCCCCCCCCCCACCCCCCTAAAAAACATGTCTACCGTCCCATTCAACGAAATATAATTATATACTTTTTCCATTGTCCGCCCCCTCCCCGAGGGGGGGGGGGGCCTCAGACGTTCTTACGCGGGGGGTGGGGCTTCGCCCCTACCCGAAGAATTGTATGAAAGAAACTCTTCACGCAAACCACTTAGATTAGACAAAATTGCCTTTGTATTGAATGTTTACTCGATAATCAATGACGTCATATTAATGTGTGCACTATCCGGCTTGAGATTATTTTCTACTCTGTGCTATATGTGTCGACGTCATATTTCGTTTTCGTTTCACTGTGCATGTTTTTAAATTGCTTGTGTTTTCTCTAGAGCGTTCTTGTCAGACAGATAGATAGATAGATAGATAGATAGATAGATAGATAGATAGATAGATAGATAGATAGATAGATAGATAGATAGATAGATAGATAGATAGATAGATAGATAGATAGATAGATAGATAGATAGATAGATAGATAGATAGATAGATAGATAGATAGATAGATAGATAGATAGATAGATAGATAGATAGATAGATAGATAGATAGATAGATAGATAGATAGATAGATAGATAGATAGATAGATAGATAGATAGATAGATAGATAGATAGATAGATAGATAGATAGATAGATAGATAGATAGATAGATAGATAGATAGATAGATAGATAGATAGATAGATAGATAGATAGATAGATAGATAGATAGATAGATAGATAGATAGATAGATAGATAGATAGATAGATAGATAGATAGATAGATAGATAGATAGATAGATAGATAGATAGATAGATAGATAGATAGATAGATAGATAGATAGATAGATAGATAGATAGATAGATAGATAGATAGATAGATAGATAGATAGATAGATAGATAGATAGATAGATAGATAGATAGATAGATAGATAGATAGATAGATAGATAGATAGATAGATAGATAGATAGATAGATAGATAGATAGATAGATAGATAGATAGATAGATAGATAGATAGATAGATAGATAGATAGATAGATAGATAGATAGATAGATAGATAGATAGATAGATAGATAGATAGATAGATAGATAGATAGATAGATAGATAGATAGATAGATAGATAGATAGATAGATAGATAGATAGATAGATAGATAGATAGATAGATAGATAGATAGATAGATAGATAGATAGATAGATAGATAGATAGATAGATAGATAGATAGATAGATAGATAGATAGATAGATAGATAGATAGATAGATAGATAGATAGATAGATAGATAGATAGATAGATAGATAGATAGATAGATAGATAGATAGATAGATAGATAGATAGATAGATAGATAGATAGACAGACAGACAGCGAAACTATTATATAGAATACTGAGAATCATGTTTGAGTTTACTTAACTGCTTTAGTCTGGTATTCCCAAATTTTCAGGTGTACTATGGCAACAACTATAACAGAGACCTGAGTATTCAGGTACAGAGGATTGGTGTTGTGAACAATGACTTTGGTAAATAGAGTTTACTCATTTATTTTTATTGAATTGATTGTTCTTCAGTACATACATGTCTGATATCTAACAATACTAATCTATATATATAATTCTCTTCTGGGAGGCGCTAGAAAACAAGCTGTAAGCGCACTCCCTACTACCCCACCCCTACATGGTCTGGTGAGCTGTGGTTACGCTAAATGTTTACATTCGTAGAGCCGGGTTTAGTGGCGGCTATTAGGGGCAGATAATTTTGTTTGAAACTATTTTAAACTTAGGGGAGGTAACTAAGAGGGGGCTGCTTTCGCTGGGGGGGGGGGGGGGGTGTAGGGTAGGGGTTGGGGGAAAGGAGGGTAGGGGTTGGGGGAAAGGAGGGTGGGGGTAGTATCGTTCTTAGCGACCTACTGATAGTGTTTTAAAGCAAATATTTTCAGTGGTAGCATTGGTACTGTCGAATTCACAAATTATGAATTACTGAAAAGTAGAAAATAAAACAATTAAATGGCGGCATATGATATGCAGCGGGCCGGCTCGTATCTTTAAAAATCAATTTGTTCTACCGCATGACATCAATTTTTATAATTCTTGCTAGACTTTATCAGACAATACAAAATAGGAAAGCAAATGTGTAATTGTGGGGACGGTTTGGCCTAAGCTGTAGAGCGCTAGGCTGTTAACCCAGAAGTCTCAAGTTCAAGTGAGTTGATTGTCCTTGAATCCACCCAACTGTGATGGGTACCTATCTCATGTTACGGAAAGTAAAGGCAGTGGGGCTTTGAGACTTTGGTTAGCAGTCGAGCAGTGCCACACTGTCATTTTGAGAAAGCGCGAACCCTCAATGCTGTCATATATCTTTTACAGATATTTTAGCAGATATCTATCAGTGTCAGCATTGCAGATTTGCTTTTTTAATACTTTCCTATTTAGATTCATATCTGAAATACAAACATGAAATGGAAATCCCTGACATTAAGGGTCTGGATCTCACAGTTGACAACATTGAACATTCTTATCAGTTATCAAACTTTCATCAACAACGTAGAATTCGTAGAGGAAAAAAGCTTCACAAGTGTGACACTTGTGGTAAATATTTTGCAGATTTCTATCGTATAAAGTTACACCTTAAAACTCATCTAGGAGAAAAGCCTTACAAGTGTGACCAATGTTGTAAATGTTATACACAGATTAGTCAATTAAATAAGCACCTTAAAGTCCATACAGGAGAAAATATTCACAAGTGTGACCAATGTGGTAAATGTTTTGCAACTCGTGATCCGATACAGAGGCATCTTAGAAATCATTTAGGAGAAAAGCCTTACAAGTGTGATCAATGTGGTAAATGTTTTCCAACTCTTGATCCGATACAGAGGCACCTTATAAATCATCTAGGAGAAAAGCCTTACAAATGTGACCAATGTGGTAAATGTTTTATCAAGCTTAGTAGCCTTAAGAGTCATCGTAAAATTCATACAGGAGAGAAGCCATTCAAATGTAACATATGTTGTAAATGTTTTACCCAGTTATGTCACTTAAAGAAGCACAATAGAACTCATTCAGAAGCAAAGAGATACAAGTGTGACAAATGTGGTAAAGGTTTTAATACTCTTTGTGAAATAACAAGACACCTTAGAATTCATATTGGAGAATTGCCTTACAAGTGTGACATTTGTGGTAAAGGTTATCCCCAGTCTGGCAACTTAAAGATACACAATAGAATTCATACAGGAGAGAAGCCTTACAAATGTGATAAATGTGGTAAGTGTTTTACAAGTACCAGCTGTTTAAGAGGACACAATAAAACTCATTCTGGAGAAAAACCTTACAAGTGTGATACTTGTGGTAAATGTTTTACCCAGAATAGTAACTTAAAGATTCACCAAAGAGTTCACACTGGAGAGAAGCCGTTCAAATGTGATCAATGTGGTAAATGTTTTTCTCAGGTTGGTAACTTTAGTAAACACCTTATTATGCATTTAAAAGTTTAAGTTTAAAAGTTTAAAAGTTTAAGTAATGCGGTAAATGTATTTCAGATCTCTCACATTTATCAGAACATAAATTAAAAACCACCACTGAAATATATCCAAAATGTGACGCTTTTCTTTTTACTTTCTTTTATGAGCAGTGGCTCTTAACATTTTTGGAGATACTGAACCAGAGTTTCTTCCAGGCATCTCTTCGGGGGGGGGGGGGGGGGGAGGGGGGGAGGGGACGACAACACCCCCCCCCCCCTGCCCCCCCACCCCCGGAGAAAAAAGTCTGGAAGAAACACTGTACTGAACTCCACCCATTTGTAATTATGTGCACTCACCTGACCCTTTTTTTTTATAGTTTAACGGCAGCACTGATAAAATCCGATTAGGTATCATGTAAGTCGGGTGGTGTGTTTTGACTGTGGACTAACCCTTAAGACTGACCCACCGATCCCCTGGGGTTCGATTGAATCCGGGTTAAGAACCACTGGTATAGACATAGTACTGTCATCGTGCACAAAAATTAAATAAAATGTTGACAGTTTTTGCCTCTTTACACCTTCCTACTTTATCATATACGGAATACAAAGCAGGAATTGTAATCAGGAAAAAAATCTAATAAGAGATTTTCACAAATTTTGACGTGCAGGAAAACAGTTTTGCAGTCCTGTCATTCTGTGTGTGTGTTAGAGAGAGAGACAGAGAGAGAGCGTAAACACTTAAATATGAGTACTTTTTCGGTATTTGTTGGCAATTTCATTTTTAAGTATAATATAAATTTTAGAGCGCTTTCAGGAGGTAAAAGGAAGTGGTATGCACAGTCCTTTTGGTCTCATAAAGCCGGTAACTTAAGTATTATTTAAGTTAGGTAGATAGAATTTCACATACAAGTATTAGATTATATGTGCAAGTTTCTGACAACGTTTGAACGATTTCCGGTCATTGGAAGTGGTACTTTATTTCAGTGGAAACACAATAACTGTACAATTGTTTTAGTTACATAGACGAAATTTCATGTACAAGTAAAAGATCTTATACTTGGATCACTTACAATTTTTGAGTGACTTGTGATGTCTGGAATTGGTGCTTCACTCTATTCCTGGTTTCTAAAATATTAAATACTAAATAACGAGTACTTTTTTAGTGCCAAAATTTCGGCCTCACTCAAAATGTGTACTAGAAGGGAGGTAAGGTACCGTCTGTGCACAAGGCTCTGGACGGTTATCATCCTTGACACCAAGGTCAAGGATGATGCCAAAAAATGTAGATAGAAACATAGCGCTTGAGACAGGGGGCGTATCTAGTTTCAGGAAACCCTAACACTCATCACACTTCAAACATGAACACAAAAATAAACTTACAAAAACCATTAACATAAACACAACCATAACCTTGAACATTAGTACATACATAAATCCTAATGTGTATGTTACGTTTGTGTTGGTGTAAGTGTTTATGTTGTGCTTGTGCTTGCATTTTTGTTTTTGTGGGTTTTGGTTTTTTTTAGGTAGGGAAGGGCAAGGGTTTGAGGTTGCGGTGAGGGTTGGTTTTATTTATGGTTTATGTTTGCATTTTTTGTGTTTTTTTTAGTCCTTTTAAATAATTGGCTTATTTCGTCCGTCCGTATTTAGAAATTATTTCAAATATTTTATAAGTTAGAATTTTTACGTTTGCATGATTAAAATGTGTAAAATTTTAACTAATTTACTAATTGTTTTGAAATGACACAATTTTTGTAAATATGTTGATATTTAATGCGTAAAATTTACATCGATTAAAATAAATAAAGGTAAATAACCCCCAAAATGAGTTACCGAGTTGTTTTGTTTTTATTTGTTTATCCTCAAAACTTCACATGGTAACGTTGTATTCAAACAATATGGAATAACAATGTTAAGACGAATATGTTGGGATATTTAAACCATGCCCAATGGCAGAAGTCATGTTTAGTCCTACATGTCAAAGGTTGCAAATTAATGGGTCATACTCAGCGGTAATATTATAATTAAAATAAATAGAATGCAATATAATAACGTTAAAACAGGTGATACTCTCTAATAGTAATAGGCCTAGTAATTCATCAATTTATTGAATGAAAAAGAGAAAAATACTAACATAGAAACAAATATTTTTAACAATGTGTTAATCATTAATGAACTTAGTAGGTAAGTGGTATAAGATTTCCTTTCCGCCCCCACCCATACGAAATATAATTCTTATTCAAAATATATCCTTATATAAAAATAATTAAACCATACTAACTGATGATTCAATAACCCGGGTTAGCCCGAAAAACATTGAGGAAGAAGATTCCACCATAGACCTATGCTTCAGCACACAGAAATTCTCTAACGTCTAACGGGGTTAAAAAATATCACGACAGTCTCCCAATAATCATCTCGAACGATGCATGGGTGGAGTGAAGCTCCTCTAATACAAAGCCATCCTTGAACTTAAAAAAACAAACTGGCCAGCCTTCACCTATCAAACTCCTACACATCGATGACGTCAGGGATAACGACATGGACAAGTACCCAAGCCACTAACATACAACATCCTGGAGGTAGCGGACATTCACATCACAGACACAACATACAGGAGTAAGTAACAACACTGGTAAGGTAATAAACAAAACAAAAAAACAGTCACGTGGTGGAATGAGGAGTGTCAAAAGACGGTGGATGCAACACAACACAATATCTCAAGTTTAGAAGAAATAAAACAGGGAAAATAAGAAAATATATAGCAACTTATTCCGGCGCCAGGGGCGAAATATTAAATTTGCTGCACACGGACGAAAAGGGAAAAGCCCCCCTCCCTCCCTACTTTACTAGTCTCTATTCCTTCACAGTTGTTATTATGTCGTAAAATTAAAAACATTTAAATTAGTCAGGACAGCAAAGCAGCAGTCTATTTTTCAAAAACTTTATGCATCATTCAGTAATGCAGCCCAGAATGAATGTTTTAATTATTATTTTTCACCCCATTTGGCGCCCTCTTAGGGTCGACCCCCCGGGACGGGCTCCTCACCCACCCTCCACTAACTACGCTTCTGCATGCAGAAATGCTGCTAATATCACCAATAGGGCTGAAACTTTCAGAAAGAAAAAGCCATTGGAGGCAGTATTACCAAACCATAGGTCCATTCCCCAACACCATAGAGATATGGAGTAAGTTAAGTCAATGAAAGGGTCTGTCTCCAGATCTGTAGCATTTTATATTAAAACATGCTAACACATCACTTGGTGCCTTAGATATCATCTATTAAAAACGAAAAAAAAAATTAAACAAAAACGGTCTAGTGAATTTTAAGGTTTAAATAGAATTTATACTATCTCGTATACGAAGTATAGCGGAATTATTGTTATCGTGCAAAAACAAATTGATAAAGAGATTTACGCACATCTTGACGTTTTACACCTTACTGAGTCGGAAAAACTTAGTTTTGCAATTTTGTCCGTATGTCTGTGTGTGTTTATGAACACGATAACTTGAGTACCGTTGTCATAATAGACAATGTTATTTTTATTTTTTTATATTTTTAATGCACAGTGGGAAATCACAACACACGCGATTGGTTCTAATTCATTATTATAAGCTTGTCGTTAGTGTTAATAATTTATTCATTTATTATTCAAATGAGGTTCGAGCTCAGAAAATATTGTAGAAAGAAATCGGTTTTTTTAAAAGACAAAAATCATGTAAGTGGAGATATGACTTCTCTTAAGATGTGAATGATAAAGTTCCCTTATTGGACTTGACGGACGGGACACTAGGCAGGTGAAGTAGAGTTTACCTGTTTCTGTGACCTCAGCATATGAAAGGATAGTGTGGTCAGAACCATGCTCAGCCGAAGTCTGAGATGTGATGTCTTTTTGAATGTGGGGTCTGGCTTTTTGTGAAGATGTGTGACAGTGGGAAGGTAAGGGGAAGATTAAAATCGTCGGAAAACGTGACGTCATTTAATATGACCCCCAAAACACACGGTTATTCAAGAATAAGGGGTAGCCTAGTAAAGCACTAATACTACGCAATATTAAACACACCTTGTTTGCTGTTCATTTTGTACGCAATTCTTTATTCTACGAGAGTCTCTTGTATTTAAAAACGTTTAATTAATTAAATATTGATTAAAAATCATGTGTTTATCCCGAGTTGCCATCCCCCGTAGTATTATATAGGCCTAAGTTATTCGAGAAAGTTTAGTGGAGATCACTCCCGCTTTATTTAAAATGCTATGTTAAAATGTGACCTGTTTTTACAAAGTCCGCCAACAATAGTTTTTTCGACGTAAATTGTCAAACACAAAAATGTTGGAAAACACGGTTTAGATCCGGCGTTGGCCTACTTATAATGGAAAATTGCGTATCTATCCTTCCATATAGTACAGATATGCGACTAGTAGTTTCTATTTATATCCTGGTGTATTCCCATGGGAATGACGTCACGTTAAAAAGAGTCGAGGGATACCTAGCATACACAATGTGTTGTCTAATAAACACATCCGGCTACATGTCTAACAAAAGTTCACCGTTGTGATGTCTGAGTCGCAGCTGACCGATCCTTGGCTAGAGTATCCCTAACAGGATGTCGGAACTCAACGGTGTATATAAACATGGTGGTATATGTGGACAGCAATCAACCTCAGCTAACGCGACGGAAACCGACTAATAAACTGAGGCTTCTTTCTACTGAACATTTGTTGTATTGTGATTTTCATCTACTTTGTCCACAGTTTACTGTAAGTATGTTAGAGATTAGTTATGTAAATTGCTAAAACCGTTTAACACACACACACACACACACACTATATATATATATATATATATATATATATATATATATATATATATATATATATATATATATATATATATATATATATATATATATATATATATAGGCCTATTTACTTATTTTAAAACATTGTCATGTCAATTTTACATGTGAATTTGTATTACGCAGTGCTTCAATAAATGCACATTCTGAATTTAGCATTAGCTATTAAAACAAAAATAAACAGTTGCATTCTCGTTTTCTTGTTATTATCCTGGTTAACTCTATTATTACTTTTTTACTAAATACACCATGTCTTTTTTTGAGTAGGGTTTGTAAGTATTAAACACCGATAATTAAGTATTTTTTTGCTTTTAATTTCTATAAAATTTTGATTTAAGACCTTGTTTTTACTTGTAGAAAGATGGCGATGAATCTGCTCAAATCAACTCCTCTACTGGGTTTACTCATTATCGTCCTTTGTAAGTTCCATTTAATCTCATAACAGTAACACACCTGAGAAATTTTATTATTAAAATCATGTTTTATAGAAACTATTTATTGCGTATAACTACACGTTGTTGTATTCACGTTCATGCTGTAGATTGTATGTATTGTTACATCTTCTTGCAGGTACGAGTTGTTTCAGCTCACCTATAGCTTTTGAAACGTCCACCCCAAGTGACCCTTTGATTACTGAAACATCCACTGAAAGTGGCAATATAACAACAGCAACATCCACCCAAAGTGAGCCTGTGACAACTACAACTGCTCAACCGACAACTGTAAAAACCACCACTACTCTTAGCTTAAGATTACGTAAGTATTTATCCTACATAATTCGATGTACACATAATTAATTTTAACCACCGAATGATTATAAATACAAAAAAAATAATTAAAATAAGCAAATACACTAATTAAAAAATATCTAGTTATTAACCATGCCATTATTTTTTGTAAGACAAAACATCTATTTTACTTTATAAACCCTTAGAAAAAAGTTCTTTATAGTAATAATTTATCTGCTGATTCAACAAGTAGTAATGATCTATCTAAAAACTGTGGTTTTATCCATGTAGAGTTAGACAGGATGAGATGGAATAGCATATGGAATGCTATGTGCGCCACCCAGCCTTGTCCTCTATATGACTGGCCCTTGTGTGCTTCTGATGGTAAAACATACATGCATGAATGCTGGTTGAACCGGGCTAACTGCTACAGAGGACCAGAGGATAAAATTCGCAAAGTACATGATGGTGTCTGCCAAAATTAATAGACATTTTAGTTTAAACATTGATGTACATGCTTTTATTAAAACAGTAATTTAAATTTTATAAAATGTAGGTATATGTAAGTCTATATTAGATACAAAATTAACTTTCAATTTATTTTTTAAATTTTCAAACCGAATTACTACAAAAACATACTTTTTACACATTTAAATATATCTAAATTTGAAAAGTGTTCATATAGTCAATTTAGTTTAGGGAAGCCGCCATGTTTGATTTCATTTAAAGCATGTTCAATGCTTACATTTTATTGGGATTCATATGTTGTGATGATGTTTATTACAACACAGTATATGTAGTTTACTTTTTGTGGGGAGTCAAGTGTTAATTAAGCATAATCAGTCAATTGCAAGTATTCCTTTTTATTTTTCAGCATATCTGTGATGTTTTACATTTTTTAAAATTCATTGAATAAAATCTGATTGCTTGAAAAGTATGAAAGTAATTATAATAGTAATAATATAATCTTGTTTTTGTGATTTACAAATTGTGATGTTTAAATAATAATAATGTATAAAATGTATTAAAATTCCACACAAACTAAAACAAAAGCCTTAAATTTGTCTGTCATGTAGAGTTTTTAGAACTTTTGGTAAATATTCTAACGTTTGTGTTTTATAAACACTAAAATGAAACCTAAACATACAGGAACAAGTCCGTACATTACCATATAGATCTACCAGGGTTCGCCAGCCTTTTGAGATGGAAATGCCAAAAGTTAAAATTTACAAAATTTACCAGTTTTTTTTAAAGAGCCACTAACATTTTTTTTTCAACATTTTATTAGTTGATTAGGATTAGGTATATAAAATTGATTTTTGATTTGAAATAAATAGCTTTAAAATGAAGTAATTTTTATTCATAAAAGAACATACAAATGTTTGTCACAAAACGTATTCAATTATTTAAGCTTACTCTGTTATGATAAAATTAGTAATTAACTAATATATAATTGAACAATCCCATTCCACTGTAAAAGATTATACATTTCTTTTTTTTTCACGGACATCACCATCTCCAATTATCCAGACATGCCTCAACACGATAAACTCCTACTAGCTGGATAGAATATTGGTTTGATTACCGTATCGGTCACTCCTGTCCGTCGGTTCTTAAAGGGCTTATCTTCCACCCCACAGAGCCCAGGGTAAACTCGTACCCCACCTTCCAGTACCCGGGGCAACCGTAGGAAGCTAACTTTTAAAAAATCTACCTTAATCAGGTCAAATTAAAGCACTGATAGAGAAATGCATTCTAAATAAAATAATATCGCTATATTGAAATATCGAAATATCGCCATTTAGCGATATTTCGAAAAATCGGCACTTGGGTCATGGCAAGCATTGAATTGTTGCCACGTGGCTGTTAGCAGCTGGCTGTTGGGCTGTGTCTGGTGCCCAAGCGGCTGTCAGCTGTCCGTATACTCTCTACTCCACCTATTCTTACTGAGTGTTTTTATCCTGTTTAGAATTGTTTTTCTTTACAGTATAATGTTGTATGCAGAGTTTCTTCCAGGCATCTCTTCGCCCCCCCCCCTCCGAACGAAATGAAATTTATATAACAATTTATATAGAAAATATATACTTTTAACAGTGTCCGCCCCCCCCCCCCCCCCTTCCGAAGAAAGTCTACACCCCCCCCCCCCCGGAGAAAAAAGTCTGGAAGAAACACTGATTGTATGAGTTTTGAAAACGAAATAATATAATTATTAATATGTGTGCATGGAACTGGAGAGCATACTGACAGCAAAAGAGCCGCATGCGGTTCGCGAGCCGCAGGTTGCCGACCCCTGCCATATACCACAATCACGCCTTTTATTAACCTTTAAATGGAACAAAGTAAAGAATTGTTTAAATTAAATGATGCTATTAACTTCCACGAGCACCAAAGTTTAACTAAAATCTGAGGAATTAGGTTAATACATTAAACGTATACAGCTTCTTTAATACTTTTATTTTAGTTGAGTTTTTTTTTACATGAGTTATTTCATATTAAATACATTAATTAACGTAGAAAAAGAATACAAAGATGTAAAGACTCTAAAATTAAATGGAGGTCTACAATGTGTTTTATAGTTTTTGAAATCAACAAACTTAAAAGTATTTATAAAACATACTTTTAAATAAAATGTTAATTGCTAATCAATCTACTACAATTAATGTATCTATTCGACGGTCGCGGAAAAATTACCGTGACAGTTAACTTTCGTTGGCCCTCTTATCAAAAAGCAAATGCTAGTATTTTATCTTATCCCCCCTGTTTTTGTGTAACATAGTCATTTTAAAAATTAAATTGTCTATATAAGTAGATTAAAAATAAAATAATCTAGCGTCCTTAAAGAGGAAAACATTATATATAAAACTTTAACGAAATCGGTGAGATAAAATTTGGGTTAAAAAATAACAAAAAAAAACCAAGCAAAACAAAACAACAACGGACGTTGTGATCTTAGTAAAAGATTGAACAAACTAAAACTCTCCTTTTTGCCTTTGGTCAATCTACGTGAGTAATATTTTGCATAATTCATAATAGAGCATCGCAACCGCTTATTACCTAAAGATATCCCCCCCCCCCTTGCGAAGCCACTTAAAACTAGGCACTAACTTTTTTATCCACTCAGCAAAAAATAAAGTGCGGATAAACAACTCAACCCCTCTGACCTAGATACGCATCCTGTCTAAACGTAACCTACGCAAATGTCACCACGACATAACGTGAACTGACCTAAATAAACTACCTGTTGTTGTAGCTCTGGTGCAGATCCCGTCCAGACTTTGAAAAACTTTGTCACGTGTTAAATTTTTTAGTAACGGCTTTGTTTCGTTCAGGCATCTCGTTGTAGAGGGGAAGCAGTGTTTCTGCCACACTTTTTTCTCCGGGGGAGGGGGGCACTTGATATTTTCGGGGTGGGGGGGGGGTGGGGTGGTCTATATTTTCCGGGAAGGGGGGGGGGGGGGGGCGGACATTAGAAAAAGTATATGTTTACTATATAAATTAACTCTCGTTCGGGTGGGGGGTGAGGTAGACTTTTTTCGGGGGGGGGGGGGTCCTCGCCGAATTAAATATAATACACATCTAAACCAGTGTCCGCCCCGTCCCCCTCCCGCCAGCAACTTTAAGTCACCCCCTCCTTCGTAAGTTTCAAACCCCCTCTACACCCCTCACGAAAAGAAAAATCTATAAAAGAAACGGTCGTTGTAAAATGTGATCTAGAACTAAAAAAAGAAATTTAAAAAAATTAAATAAAAAAATCAACAATAATAATAATAATAATAATATGGATATTATTATTTTCAATTTCATATTTACTCGTTTTTTGCCTTGAGATTATTTTGTCGTTAGCAAGAACTTTTGTTTTAAGAACATTTATAAATGAAGTGACTATTTCAATATTAATATTTAAACACTTGTTTTGTATTTAACCTATTGAACGTATACAACGCTTTCTAAATTACAAACATCTATGCTATTGGAGGTTGGTTGTAAAATATTCTGTCAACTCATCAGAGTGCACGGAAATATATTTCATGACTGAAGAAAGTCCACATTTAATTTGCAATTGAATGTATTTTAGAATAGAAATAAAATAGAATTTTTAAAAAAAGTTGGAAACATTTTTTTCTATCAGTATAAAAAAACACTTTAAAAACTTAGTCCATAGAACAGGTGAAGTAGAGTTCACCTATTTTAGTGACCTCGGCATATGAAGAGATAGTATGTTCAGCACCATGTCCAGACGCCTTAACTTTCCCTAACGTGAGTTACGTGACCGTCCGAGCTAGGTGGACTCAGGGACATGCTAAGGATATGCATTTGAAATTCTCTACAGTGGTACCTCGCGGTATGACTTTCACAATTTCCATAACATTGGAAGTATGTATCTCAGAGCAATTTTATCAAATAAAAACTATTAAAATGCCATTAAATTGTTTTAGTCCCCAAATACGACACCAATTGTTTGAATTGGAAAGCTGTGTATGAATGGTTAATTTTGTAAACAAATAAAAACGAATTTTAAGAAATGCTTGAAGGAAACTTTGGACACAACTAACTTGCAATTAAAAGTTACAGTGTGCTATCGCCACACCTAGACATTTCTTCCTTATTCTAACAAATCCTGTTAAATTGAGTACATATAAACTATTTTTTTTTATTTTTTAAAAGAGTTGATTGTTCGGACAGTAACGAAAACATCCTGGTGTCTGGTAGACAATATTTCGGTGAAGCGACCAAACCTGTGGTAAACTAAAGGTCATCTCCGGGTCAGCTGGTCTTAGTATGTATAAATAGTGCAGCCAGATACTAGGCGTACATCAACAAGCTCAAGCTAGACGCAATAACTGTCTTACTTCTAAACAAGGTAGGCAATATAGGCAATATGCTTATCTTATATCTTAAATAAATAAATAAATAAGTATATATATATATATATATATATATATATATATATATGCCTATAATCTATATATATAGGGGCCTATATATATATATATATATATATATATATATATTAATTTACTTATATACGGCCCTACATATATTATATGTTTGTGTGTGAGTGTTCATGTCAATTTATTGAAAGGCTTCAGCTTATATTGAATTATGTTTTTGTTCAAAGCTCATTCAGCAAGAAATATTTTTTGTCCAATCTGAAGAGAATGATTCAGAATGTGAAATCCGTTCCTGCTATTCTAACAATATGCATGTGTTTATGTGGTAAGTAAATCTCTTTATTTTTCAATTTAAAATTTTACAATATTTACAATATTTTACAATGTTTACAATATAATTAAGATTCAAAATCATTTTGGTTCAATTTTCCAACTTAGTATGTGTTCTGTAAATTTTACTTCTGACACTTGCTGACAATTAGACGTTAAGTAAATCAGTTTCGATACGCTTTATTTTACCTATTTCATTTCTGCAGGACTACTGTTGGGTGTTACAAGTAACGTTATCCCACAAGATACAACACATTTGCCAATTACTTCTACACAAAAACTACCAACTACTACGACGCCAGATATTATAGGTAAATATTTGTTGTGTTTTATAATTTAAGTCGTCGAAAATTGTGAGTTCACAATCCGCTGATAGTGAAATAGACTAATGTAGTTAGTAGTTGCCTAACCCGAATCCCAACCACTAGGCACAAAATATTATTTACCGAGAAAATGAACAGACCGGAACAATTTTGCACCTCGCGTTCTGCTATTATGTCACTGTGGATTGGTGCTGAATAAATACGAAATAACATCTTACATGTCCGTCGAGGGGACGGAGTGGTCTAGCGGTAGAGAGCTGGACTGCTAACCCCAAGTCTCGAATTCGAAACCGGGTTCAAGTCAGTAGACGGTCCCTGAGTCCACCCAACTCTGAAGGGTACCTAACTCGCGTTAGGGAAGTAAAAGCGGCTGGGCATAGTGCTGACTACACTATCTCTTCATATGCCAATGTCACAGAAACAAGGGAACTCATGCTTACTTTTAACGTTTGGCACAGCCCGGAGTAGAGGCAGAGCGCTAGACTACTAACCCGAAAGTCTCAATATCAAATCCAGTTTCAAATCATTACAACTTCTCTCAGCCCACCCAGCTCTGATGAGTACCTATTTCATGTCTGTGAAAATGTCGGCGGCTTTGGGTAGTGTTAACCACTCTATCCGTTAATTTTCCGAGGTCACAACTGAACTTTACTACACGTTCCCCATTAACCGTTATGTTTGCAAAGGGAACTTTACGTTGACGTAGCAATTTAAATCAAACACACTGTATTAAAAATTACTTTTACATATACTTTAATTTTCTTAGTTATTTTATAACTCATTAAATTTTAAACTAGGTAAATGTGTATGATAGAATTGACAAGGCTAAAAGCTTTTCATTGTGTTGTTTTTTCAAAGTATCAGATCTGTGTAATATAATGTTTCTAAGACGTATTGCTGAGAAGCAAAATCGATATTAAATTAATTAAATAATATAAATTTAAATGTATTATGTTGAAATTTGACTACTAAAATGTATGTTTGTGTCTACAGCCCCGGGTACTGGCAATGGATGGTGGAGGGCCTGTAAGACTTCACCCTGTCCGTGGTATTATATACCTGTGTGCGGCACAAACGGCGTCACCTACGACAACGACTGCTATCTGAGCCGAGAGAACTGCCCTGGCGACGAGCCAAAGGTCAGAGTTCGAGTCCTACACAGAGGAGCGTGTAAAATATAGTTGTTGAGATTTAGTTGTTATGTTGCAAATTTTAAAATAAACTTTTTTTTTTACATTTTTATCAAATGTGTTTAACACCTTTTGAAGGTTTAGTATTTTCTTCTTCTGTATTTTGATTAGCTTTATCACATTTTTTTCGAGATTGTACCAGATATTTTCTGTAATGTAGACACGTTATGATGTAAATAAACTTGGCTATTAGAACAAACATCCGTGTTTCTATCATACATTTTAAACGCAGGAGCCTGCGGACTTAAAGTCCGTCTGTCTGTCGGTCTGTCTAGATCGAAACGCCCGAGCGAAATTTCGGGCAATTCTGACATATTCGGTTCAGAGTTATTGTTCTGATTGTCTAGATCCAACGGGAGACACAATATGATTATAAAAATAGATCTATCACTTTTGTGTATTATGTTAGTATGTGTGATCAGCCCACTATACATTTGCAGATCTAACAAAGTCTGATGTTATACACATTATTATTTTGAGGGAGCTCATGTTAAATAAACATTGCTTGACATGAAACGATGACAACCACAGTTTAAACTGTAGAGCATGGGCGTTGTTGGCCAACTAAGGGATAAATGTATAATTCGTGAGAGAAAAAATCTTATTCTTTCGTATTTGTAAATTTAGAGGAAAAAAGCTTATAAGAAAATCGATAGGCAAATTATTTTTAATATTGCTGATAAGAGAATATTTGGCTGTCTCCCGTTCAACTGATTAAGCAGCCACTGTTAATAAGCTATGGCCTTACATCGCCTTATGTAAATATTTTGCGAGAAGAAAGCGACGACAGCTGATGACGGGAGGGGACTTTTGTAGTTTTTCATGTGGAATAACTTATTTTTGTGCCCTTTGTTTGGTAAATCAAATGGCTTGTAATTTTAACACAATATAAAGACGGTCAATACATTTTCCATTGATTGCTAGGGTTAGTCTATAAATCCGATTGTCTGGATGTTGGCGAGTGAGTACTAATTCACAGTGTAAACCCTGTGTTTTTTTAACGCTAAAAACCACTCATTTTATTGTCACAAGTAATCGCTGGTCCAGACTGTTATTTTTGAGCACCCAATGTGTGGGTAGGAAGTGATGATAGATGGTATTTGTGTGTGCTGGTGTTAGATATTTTGAAAAAAAAAATTAAAGCTTGTGATGCAAACATCTCATCTACCCGAGGTTTCGAACTCGTGTCTTTTTGGTTTAATAACCATTAGCTTGTTTTTATAGTGAAAACCAACAATTAAACGATATATTTTGGGGCCCCTAAAAATCTAGGGTCCCTGACTGCAGCCCTGTCAGCCCCCCCCCCCCCCTTAATCCGCTACTACTGTAAATCATAGTTTCTTGACCTTTCAAATATAAATAAATTTAAGTTCATTAAGTTGATGTCTTAACTTAATTTAAAGTTTAATTGACAGAAAATTAGCAACAAGTACAAGATCTAAATATTACTAATAAAGTCGCGTGTAGTAATTAATGTTTTTTTTTTAAGTAACACAGAAAAAAACTTGCAGAACTTTTGCAACAACTAGATTCTCTATCTCGTCTAGATCTAGGCCTAGTAAAATAAAACGATTAGATTTAGTCAGAAGAACTAGAACAATGTTTAGTAACAGCCATAATTAACACCTAAAATAATTAGAAATATAAGAAAATTAACAAAATAGTAGCAGAGGCGTAGCTACCCCTCCCGGCGCCCGGGGACAAACTTTCGATTTGCGCCCCCCCCCCCTCAAACTTTCGATTTGCACCCCCCCCCCCCCCACTCGAACTTTTCATTTGCACCACCCCCCCCTCAAACTTTCAATTTGGCGCCCCCCTAAGGTCGGCGCCCGGGGACATTTGTCCCCCCCCCCCCGGCCCCCCCCCCCTCTCTACGCCTCTGAATAGTAGGCCTTATTCAAAATGCAACTAAAATCAACCTTTGCACATTTTTATACATTACGTTTTAAAAATTATATGGCACTAAATAAAATATTGTTTACATTATTTACAGTTATTTCCAGAACGGCATGATAGACTACTCCTTGGTTTTACTATTTTTAACTGCTGTACCATGCCGGAATATTATAAACCGACGCTAGTCTATATCGTGAGATTACCAATACAAGAATATCTAAAATTCTATGTGTAGGAATACAAAATGACACAAATTATTAAAGTAAAACTGTTACACCGCGTTTACACTTACGATATGTATACTAGACTTTACCTACTTAAGTGTATACTAAACATGTTGTGTGTATATGGAATATCTTCTAAGTCGCAGGTCACAAAACCACGCTCCTTTTTATGTTTTGAACCAAGTTTTTGTTTTCGCTCGCCGAGCGAAAACATAGGACATGTTCCGAATTTCCAGATGAGTGCGCATGAGTCTTTGCGTAGTAAGCACATTCTCTCAGCCGATTAAATGCTAAAATGTAATAGGCCTAAACTGATCTAGAGCGTTTTGAGCACACACTTTTAAAATGTATAGCTTCTATAGGCCCGACTAAAAATTGCATTTTTAATAATTACTTATTTATTCTTTAATTAAATCCGAAACACGTTTTAATGAAAACAGTTTGTAATTGAAGAAATAATGGTTAATTATAAAAAAAATACTAGCGTATCCGTCCCCCGCGCGTTGCCGTATATATAGAGAAAACAAATCGCGCCGGGGCGCCACCCCTGCGAGTTTGAAAATATCTTTTGAGTATAAACCTCCCCTGGAATATTCTTAATATATTCTTAAAGTTTCATGGCGATCGTGTTAACGGTGTCACTCAGAGGCGTAGCGACCCTTCCCGGCGCCCGGGGACATACTTTCAATTTGGCGCCCCCCCTCGGGAGCAAATTTTCGATTTGCACCCCCCCTTGAACTTTTCATTTGCACCCCTCCCCTCTCAAATTTTCGATTTGCACCCCCCCCCCTCGAACTTTTCATTTGCACCCCCTCTCAAACTTTCGATTTGCACCCCCCTCGAACTTTTCATTTGCACCCCCCCCCTCAAACTTTCAATTTGGCGCCCCCCCCCTAAGGTTGGCGCCCGGGGACATATGCCCCCCGCCCCCCCCCCCTCGCTACGCCTCTGGTGTCACTGCAATTCACTTTTATTATTTTTAAATAGGCCTACCGTATAAAGAGAAAAATCGCAACCTCCCATGACGCCGCCCTTGCGAGATTAAAAATGATTTTTTTTTTTTTTTTTTTTTTTTTTTACAGAAGCCGTCCCTAGTGAATAAAGTGTTTCCAGATAAAAATAACTTTTGGAAAGTTTTGTGTTCCAGAAATGTAGAGTATAGGCCTAGATACATGTCGAAAGTGTAAACGCGGTGTTACGGCAGCGTTACGGAGTGTTTGGTACTCTTTTGTTTTTCAATGGCAAGCAGTTACTGAATACTGAATATCATATGAGACGGCATGGAAATTGGGATAGAAGTTTCGATTGTTTTGCTTTGAGTGTTCGCAGAAAATAAGTAACTCTAGAATCTAGTCTGAATCTATTATCTATGGCTTTATTTCTAGAATCTAGATCTAGATGAAAGGTTAATCTCATATGTCTAGATCTAGATCAGAGATCTAGATTCTAGAATTTTCAAATACATTAGTCTAATGATTAGAGTACAGTTACTAGCCGCGGGCAATTTTACGTTGGCCCTAACTACCTAAAATGTCCTAAAACGATTGATTACCCTAGCTAGAATCTAGGCCTAGAAACGGATAGAAGATAAATCTATAATAATATTATAGATTTATCTTGGTAAACCTCCATTTTAGCGTAATTTATTCTCCGTTGCTTGTTTACCTCCAGTTGAGCGTATTTTATTATAATAACCGAAACACACCAAAACATTAGAAAAACACGATTTATTATTAAAATAGAGATGCACACTTTGTACAATTAAGTGTTCCAATTTCAACTAAACTGAATAAAAGTATTAAAAGGCACAATGATGCTGCCGAAAGTGGGCCGAGGGGGGGGGGTGGAATTTGGTGAGGGATGGCTTGGAGTGTTAGAGAAAGTGTGACAACTCACGTTGTCATTTAAAAAAAAAATAATGTTAGAGGTCGTCCATAAATGACGTCACACTCGTAGGGGGGGGGGGGTAATTTTGTGACGGTGTGTGATGAGGGGGGGGGGGGTTCAGATGGTGCTACGTCATTTTGGGGGGGGGGGGGGGGGTCTTGCTTTTTGTGACGACACGCTTTTTTTACGATTTTTACCTCCCGCCTCCCCTCCGTTACACGTCGTCACAAAAAGTCAGACCCCCCCTAAAATGACGTCACACTTCAGCCTACAACCCCCCCCCCCCCTCAAAATTTCTGTTGAATTTTTCTTAAAACATCGATAATTTTTCCAAAATCTTGTCAGAACTCTGTCAACATAGAGTATTTTGATCAATTCATATTACAATTTATTAAAACCGTTTTCTAAAACGTGAAAAAAACGGCTAAAACTTGTTTTTCTAACATTGCTTTTTTATAATGCAAAAAAGGGACGTCACACCATCTGAAACCCCACCCCCTCCCCCTCATCACACACCGTCACAAAATTGCTGACCCCCCCTCTCCCTTACGAGTGTGACGTCATTTATGGACGACCCCACATCAGTTTTTTTTAAAAGTCAGAAATTTACTCATACAAAAAAGGGAAGGATGGTAGATTTACTATGAATTTAAATAACATACAACTCTATAGTAAAATATTTTTTTCAGTTTTAGCAAAACTGTCAAATTAAAAAACACAGAGTTTGTACATTTATTGCATAAATACAAAAATATAAAACAGAATGATTAACAGTGTATCAGTTTCACCATGAGACAAATGCCTTTTTAAAAAAAAAATACAATACAAATAAACAAGTCGTGTTTTTTTAAATATTCATTTTTATTCATTTGCTAAATAAAAAATACAATACAAAAAATAAATCGTGTTTTCCTAATGTTTTGGTGTGTTTCGGTTGTTATAATAAAATACGCTCAACTGGAGGTAAACAAGCAACGGAGAATAAAATACGCTGAAATGGAGTTTTACCTTTATCTTCTATCCGTTTCTATTATAATAATATTCTATATACTAACTATATAATATTAATAATAATATTTACTTATTTAGACCCTACTATTTATTATAAGTATTTATTTAGGCCTAGAATCTAGCTATAGTTACACTATAGTATTATTTATTAGTAGTATGCCATAGTCATAGTATGGCATAGATCTAGAGTCTAGACCT